CTTGTTTACATTTGAGATACGGCGCGAGACGAGAGAGGAGCTTGTGGACTGTTTTTTTACACTTTTTCGTTTATTACATACCCTTAAAGGTGAGATTCTGTCTTATGGACTTCATCAGGAGATATAGTACCGTGTATTCTGTTGAAGGTGTAATTAAGAGGGATTAACATTCAATTTGTTATCTAGAAATGGGATAATTATGTTTCATGCAATTCGAAATGTTGATTAAATAGAAGCCAGTTTTGATAGTTACCATCAATTTCTTATGCATCTTTACTGGATTATGGTGAGCAACTTTCCGGAAGGAGACATGCTGAGAGTCAGTCAGTCTTATTTGATTTCGTTAATAGAGTGGTGCGATTTCGATGCACATGCTCGTGGGAGGATTTGATAGAACGTGTCATGACATGAGCTTATGACTTCCCGAATGTAAATTTAATCCTTAATTTAGCCATTTGTCAAAGGTAGGACTGTGTGAAGATACATAAGAATATATAATACTGCCTTGTAGAAGAAAGTAAATGATACTGAACAAATACTAACAGGGCTGTGCTCCAGGACAGACCAATAGGCATTCACCAAGTTTATTCTGGTAAGATAGAGCTTGTAGTTCTCCCTGGCAATATGATGTAAGGTAATGAATGAATTCACTTGTATCTCACCAGAATACATTTGGTGAAGATTTTAATGTCTTACAACTGTGCAGAATGCGGATACATCATCAATTAATGCAGTTCTGCAAGAACCGCACTGAGTTGGCACTTTGACATTCTCTATTCTGCTGGTGTCAATTACACCTCTCATGATGATGTCATAATTATTTCTATCCATCGCACTGCCTCTGTATGAAAGTACGGTTTTTGGAGGCTAGCTCTGCTCAAATAACGCAGGAACCGCTGCCATTTTAAAATTGGGAAGGTCCCAGTCACCTTGTTATTGTCTTGTTGATTTTTGTTCCTTCTACTCAAAGTTGGAAGAATTTTAATTTGAAGGTATATTTAGCCTACAAAGATTTTGTGGCATCCCATAAAATTGCATATGCACATGTTTATTAGGGTTTAAAATGTATTTCTACAAAGTTTCCTTGTGATTGATCTGTTTGTACTCTGCCTATAGGGGGCCATCATGTTGCATACCTGTCTGATATGACAGAATGATTGGAAAAATGGCCTTGAAATCTTCAGTTAAATGTTGCATAATGTTTTGTAATAAAAGATAATCCTAGGATATTATAGATTAGGATTTAAGCTTTAAGAACATGATATTTTGTTTCCTGAGTTTTTTGTTGAGGAGGATTGATCAGATTTAAGGGGGCAGTCGCACCTGAGAACGAAGTTCGTCATTTATGATCGGATTTTCGGGATTTTTTAATATAAGATATATACATATACGCTGATAAACACCACCAATGTATAATACAGAACTGTGTTATTTAACCCATCAATGACGGGTAAAAATTTTGTCAAGTTTACGTACGCACCGGCTTGTTGGCGCGCACTGGCAGTTTCCCCTGTTTGCGCCCGTCTCGATCGGTAGTTTGCGAGTGACATATAGCACTTAAAAGCTTTTATTTTGCTAAAATTTATAAAAATATTAAAATTTTGAAGGTTTACCTTCACTTTAGGTGCCATTGCCTAAAATCTTTACCATATAAATGAAGCCGCTACTACTGGAGAAAAACAACCTCCATCCGACGAGCCAGTAGCGCGGGAATGGGCATGGCATGAAAATGCGCTGGCATTAGTGGGTTAAGTGGCAACTGTGTGGCCTGGCTCACACAAACACTTCTGCCTCCTTTTTGTCGTGCTATTAGCTCTCTTTTGACAGACACTTTTCTTCTGTTTTGCATATTTCAAGGTTTATATTTGTCATGTTTTATGCAGTAATAGCCTTTTTGTTGAGCAGATTCCATATTATCTCTCCTTGTAGTTTAAACTCTCTGCAACAACAGTGACAATAAGTAACATTGTGTTATTAAAAAAACTATATATTTTATTTAATCTTTCTTAAAAGCCCACTGAGTCCATTTCCCCTAGTAGCTTTGCGTACTCATGGTGAGACATCCCTGTCACTAATCACTCAGCAGTAATATCCTATGGCAAGATGTTCCCTTCACCCTTGCCCTCAGCCAAATTTTTCCATGATGAGATGTTCCTGTTTCCCACCTCTCAGCCAATTTTTTTCATGATTTGACGTTCCTATCACTAGGATCTAATTCTGTAAACAGTTAGCCACAGCAAAGGATTTAAGAACATGGAATAACACTATCACTATAGATTGTTGTGACTGTAGTTTGTAGATTGCATTCTGTAGAGTATCAAAGATAGGCTACACTCACAGTGACTCAAACATTCACCTTAGCTTCAGTATTCTAGCATGTACACAACAAACTCCTGCCATGTATATTCTAGCTTGGTACAGCTTTTAGACCATTCTAGTATAAGACATCAAATAAGGAATCAGTCCAGGTTTTTTGTAAAATACTTTATAAGCTTCAAAGTTAGTCTATACTTAGTTTACTATCATTGAATTTGATGATTATGCCTAAAGTGAAATATTCTTTACACCATGCTGCATCTTCAATGCATCTATAATAAAATGACAGTTAATGACGTATTTGAAGGCTGTAGAACCTGCTGATTTTTTTGGCTTTAAATTTGAGCTTAATTAAAGTGTTATGTAGACTGAAAATTAAAGATTTTGAGTATGGGTATCATGAATTGCTTTAATTATTTCTTTACTGTCAAGTAGAGCAAAGGACAACTGCATTTCATTATTATAAGTGAAAGTATTATTGATTAAAGTTTGCCCTCTTGTTAAAGCAAATAATGAAAACACATTTAAGACTAGCTAATCACAACGCTAGATGATAACCAGTAAGAATGTGTGGAAAAAACTGCAGAAATGATTATAGCCATGATCATGAAGACCAACACAGCAACAATATACTTTATATTGTCATATTATGTGTTAGTTTGTATTGCTGCCTTGAGTTATGAATGTGTTAAACATAGAGAAAATTTTTGAGCTTATTTTTTACAATTTTGAAATATTAAGTGTGCTAATATGTGCTTCACTTTATGCTGTTTGAAATATGTCTGAAATCACTAACTTTTCAAGAATAATTATTTATTTATACATATATCCAGCTTATACAGAGGTAACAGAAAAGTGAGAAGATGAGTGGTCTTACAAAGGACCAACTGCAGCGTATGGAGGAGAATCGTAAAAAGGCCCTGGCAAGGAGGGCAGCAATCCTGGCAGCTGCAGGGAATAGCAACAACAACCAGCCTGCAAAACCCAATAATTCCCAGCCAATGGCTGGTAGTGGAGCTGCCAAGCCTTCCAGCAGTGCAGCTACGCAGCCATATAATAGACAGATAAGCCCAACAGGAAACCTCTCTAAACCTGGAGGTCAGCAGAGTACATTTTCACAGAACACTTACCCAAAATCAGGTCCCCCTGGTCAGAGTAGCCAGCCCTTTAGCAATCAGAATTCAGTACCAGGGAAATCAGCATCAAACTTTTACAAGACGGGTCAGACGAATATCAATAACAACACACAGCTTGGCAAGAGCAGTGCAACAAGCTCCAGTTTCAGCAACAGCATACAGTCTAAAGCACAAAGCCAACCACCAGGCAACACTTCAAAACAGACAGGAGATGGTAAGCAGTTAAAAATCTATTATTTCATGGCTTTTCATGTCCCTAATCCACTTGGAAGGATGAATTCCTTTGATAATCTTGCTGTTAGCATATTGATGAAGTTTTTCTTTGATCTATTACAGTTGCTATTTTCCTTATGTTAGAGAGAGACTTTCATTGACTGAAGAAAAAAAATTCTGTCAAAAGAAGAGAAACAGGAAGAATATAAATCTTTCATTCACCATTTCTTTAAATTTTCTGTTATTTTCCAACTTCAGGAGCAAAACCTGTGTTTGGTAAGACTGTCAATGGTACATTCCGACTGATGTCCCGTGAGAGGTTCATGGTAGAAGTTGGATATCATCAACAGATGATAGAAATCTTCAAGACAATGACAACAAAGAAATATGGTATGTATGTGCAGGAAGAATTTATTAGAATATAAACCTCCCAAAATGATTATTTTTTTTTTCAAGAATTGTGTATTTAAATGCATTAAATATGTATTTGTTTCCAGATGTGGAGACCAAAAGATGGAACTTTGAACTGAGTGAACATGACAAATTAGTTGCAGCTCTTGCTCCTCTTAGACCTGCCGTGTGCATCAGTCCTTTGCCGTCATTTGTTCGCAGAGTTAGTTCACGTCTTCTGCTTTGTGGTCATATTGTACTATTTATTCACCAGCCGTATACAAAAACATTATACATTTGATGATCATTAAACAGTGGAATACTGTTTGCTGTCTCATCTCAATATTTATATCTTTTGACTGTCCATTGTAAATTAAATTTTCAGATTCTGAAAGCAGCTCAAACAGAGATCCCTGCCTCCTGTGTTGACTTGTTTGGACTTGACCCCAAGCTGTTGGATGCCTTGATGCCATTTCAGCATGAGGGAGTATGGTGAGTGTTAATTGTGTTGGTTTTGATTCCATCTGTTATTAATACCATCCATTTTTTTTTTTTTTAGTTTGCTTCTATCTGTGGAGTCTTTCTTTACTTTGTTTGTGTATGAGCTCTTGATATTGTAAAAGTATGCTTAATTTTACCTATTGCAATATATTGGTGTCTTTGGGTATAAATCATAGCAAAATCCAAGTACAAATAGATGTAGAACTGTTCTCTATATGATTTTTATTGAGGATATTTAATGCTGGTACAGTTGAGTATAATTGAAGGTGAAAGTGTTTTTTATTCTTAGGTCTTGTGGTAAATGCAGTATGAAAATAGTTTATAAACATAGATTTGACATAAATGACAAATCTGTGTCATTAAATACAATTATTTTTATTTATTATTTCACAAAGCAAGGGAATGATCAGATAAAAGTAAATGCTACAAAATATATACAAATATATTGACATTTTTTCTTTTATTCCTGTAATAGACTATACAATATTATAATTGACATATTTTTTTCTTTTATTCCATGATATAAAAAATTTAAAAGATTGAAAAATACAAAAATTATTCAGAAATAATTAAAAAAACTAATTAACCAGAAATCTAAAATTACCAATACAAACACTCATTCACAATACGTAATTTACCTAAAACAAAACTAAAAAACCCTGAAATCCAAACTAAACACTCACTCACTCACTACACTCACTCACTCACTACACTCACTCACTCATCACTCACTTCACTCACTCACTCACTCAACGCAAACATCACTCACATTACATACTAACAACAACTACTACTACAACACTCATACTCATCAAATCTCTCTCACTACTCCTACTCACTCTCTCTCTCTCTCTCTCATCTCTCGTACTCAATCAATCTCTCTCTCTCTCTCTATCTCTAACTCATCTATCATCTCTCTCCTCTAATCGATACTCTACAATCTCTCATTCTCATCTCTCTAACATATCTCTCTCTATGCTCTCTCTATAGCTCTCATCATTATTCTCTCTTGCTCTTCTCTTAGCCTCTCTCGTTGCTTAGCTCTACATTGCTCTTCTAATAAGCATCTACTACTCAACTACTCTGCCTCATTACTTTCAATCTCTATAGTCCTCTCTCTGCCATCTCCCTCTCCATCTCACCTCTCTCTCTCTCTCTCCCAATAAACTCAACCTCTCCCTACTCACCCTGCTCACCTCTCTCATCACCTCTCGTCTCCCTCATACATCATACCCTACTCTCTCCACTCTACTCATCACCAAATACAATACTCATCTACTACTCTCACTCCTCTCTCCCTCTAACTCTCCCCTCTCTCTGTCTCTCCTCTCTCTTATCCTCTCTCTTCATCTCTTAAAACTCAATCTCTCTACTCTCAACTACTCTACCTCCCTCATCTCATACCCTCTACTCATCACCTCTTACTCTCATCAAATCTTCCATCTCTCTCTCTCTTCTCATCTCTCTCATACTCTATTCTCTCTACTCTCTCTCTCATACTCTCTCTCTCTCTCTCTCTCATCATCTCATCTTTCTACTCCATACTCTTTCTCATCATCTCTCTTTCCATACTCTCTTATTCTACTCTCTCTCTTTCTCTCTCTCTTATACAATACTACATCATCATCTCTCTCTCTCTCTAACTACTCAATCTCTACTCTCTCCTCTCCTCTCTCTCTCTCATCTCATCTCTCTTCTCTTTTTTACATAATTCATCTAGCATCTTTACTCGTCTCAATATCTACTAATATCTCTACTCCATCTACTACATCATCTACTCTCTCTGATCTCACAATACACTCTCTCTCTACTCATCTCTCATCAATACTCATACATTCCTCTCTCTCTCTCTCTATCTCTCTCTACCATACTTCTCATCTCTTCTTCTATACTCTCTCATATCTCATTCACAACCTCCTCTCATCTCCCTCTCTCTACCCTCTCTATCATCCCAATACTCTTCTCCCCTCTCTCTCCTCTCTCTCTACTCTCCACGTCTCTCTCCGCTCTCTCTCGCGTCTCTCATCTCCGTCTCTCTCTCCGTCTCTCTCTCCGTCATCTCTCTCACGTCTATCTCTCTCTCGTCATCTCTCTCCGTACTCTCTCTCTCTACTCTACTCTTCTCTAATCTCTCATCTTCTCGTCTCTCTCTCTCTCTCTCTTCTCTCTCTCTCTCTCTCTCTCTCTCTTCATAAACTCTCTCTCTCTCTCTCTCTCTCTCTCTCTCTCTAACTCTCTCTACTCTCTCTCTCTCTCTTCTCACTCACTCACTCACTCACTCACTCATCACTCACTCACACCACTCACAACTCACTCACTCACTCACTCACTCACTCACTCACTCACTCACTCACTCACTTACGCATGCTAACATGTTAATTCCCATGGCTATATATACTGCTGTATTTCAGTACTAGATATACAAGCAGATATTAACATATTTATGTTTTTGAATTTTGGAACATGCCAATTTCACTCTACAGTAATTCTACTTGGAACTACTGTCTTCACCTTAGCATATATCAGGATTGCTACCAATTCCATAACAAAGACATTCTAATTTATAATGTGATGCATATGAAAAGATATATATTTATCTATGTACAAAAAGCATGAGAATCTTGATACAAGAAATATATATAAAACTAGAATACCAGATAATATATATAAACTACGTAGTACTAAGTAAGTGCTGGCAGAAAGTTTAGTGATATAAAATTTTGAACTCAGATAAGCACAGCATCCAGATAATGGATCTGTTCATAATCTCACAATTTTTATTTTTTGACTGTATGAGTAGCTAAAGTCAGTTACCATATTCTGGTAATTCTTATACTGCTTATAGCTTGGTGCAGATAGAATCTATGCTGGTAGATTGGAATTGTAATAGAACCTACTCTCAGATTTAGGAGACTACAAGCATAGATGTGTTCTCTGGAGCTGATTTCCATAAGCATTTTTTACAAATACAGTTTGAATCTTAGCAATAAATAGAATTACAAAATTAAGAGCAGAAAGAATAGCTTGGCTTGCATAGCATATATATGGAGCAATACACAAGATACTGAATGAATTGTTTGGCCACTCTGGTCTAGAGTGCAAAGTGAGATCAGTTGCATAACTCATCTTTTTGGACATTACACTGTTCATTATAGTGCACAGAGTTGGTTCCATGAAAATAATTGGAACTCATAATACTAGCTGCACTACCTGATTCATGGTTGCAAGATTTTCAACTACCAGAAAAAATATTTGCATTCCAAATATGATACTGGTATGATACTCAATTTAATCTGTGGTCATCTATTGTCAGAATATATGAGTTCATAGATCTCTGTTTATTTACTGATTTTAATAGTTTAAGTATCTTTTGTAGCAGATCTAACTAGTAATTTCATCACAGACATGTATTGCCTTATTAGAACTCTCATCTACATTGTGTATAAGATTATCTGGGAAGATTTGATGCCATTGTTTTTTAATAATAATGCAAATCAAAAAATACAAGCCTAAAGTTTTGTATTATGCTAACAATAGTGAAACATGGAAACTGAATGGTGTTTCTGCAAGATTATTTAATTTGGAGGATTTTTTTTTTGTTCTCTTTGTCTATTATTAGTTCTTCTATGGTGTGTGTTATCATGAGAATAATTGTGTCAAATAATTTAGCAGTTCATAAAACTTCTGCAGTAGCACATGCACATTGTATGATTCATCTCTAAAGGGAGTGAGAGTTGAAAAACAAATATGAGAAACTTATACAGCTTGTAGAAGTAGGGGCTTTATCATATTTCCAAAGAAATAATAGTTATGTTAGCTTGTGAGCCCCTCTAGGGGTCTCTGCTTTGTCCTGGTATCTCTTTTTTTCTCGGACATTATAAAAATTGTACTCTAAGGGTGATAATTTTAACCCATTGCTATGAGATGACATGTACATACATGTCATGCACACACTCCTTGCACTAAGTGCATTTGACAGCTGTTTTCACTTGTTTGGCTATGATAGCCATAATTAGTTGTAGCCTCTCAAAAGTAGGTTATAGTCACTTTTTGTCATGTTTCCTGGAAAATTATATATGCAGCATCCTGTTTTCCCTTCAAGTGGTTGACTGCCTGTGTCACCCAGTGGTTCAGTATGGTATATGAAATACCCTCAGTTAGAATACAAGCTGATTCTCACTAGACCAGCAAGCTTGAAAAAAGGCAGTTGCCAGAGTAGCAGATTTCCTAAACAGTGATTCACTTGAGACATTAGTTCATGAAGGTATCATAGATTCCAAAAAATTGATCTTAATGCTGAACTGGTTAGAACAAAAGTCTAACTGAAATTATGTCTATGACTCTTTACAAGATTATTATTATAGGGGTCTTTTAAGATTTGAATATTTTTACTATTTAAGTTATAACTTTGAAAAGTAGCTACAGTGCATCAAAGACAAAATAGCTAAGGACAATCTTTAAAATGAGTCATTGACAAATTCTGCAATGATTATTGAGTCAAAGACTGTATCTAGGACAGTCCTTAAATTTGTCAAAGACCTTTTGTGAATACTGGCCCTAATTTCTCGTCCTTGATTTTATCTGTTCTAATGCTATTAGTATTGGTGCTATCTTAATATATTATTATTTATTTATTATTATTATTAATATTATTATTATTATTATTATTATATTATTATCATTATTATCATTATTATTATTATTATTATTATTATTATTATTATTATTATTATTATTATTATTATTATCATTATTATCATTATTATTATATTATCATCATATTATCATTATCATTATTAATATCATTATTATTATTGACATTATGTTTAATATATTGGTAGTAAAATACTAATGGCAGCAGAAAATAGAAAGGAATTGAAGAAACAAAGCAATGAAAATGTTAAACAGGTGGGGTACGTAGGTATTTGCGTAGCGATCTGTATGTAAACACAATAAATAAACTGAAATCACAGTGGACATGGCATGTATGTCATAATCTCCCAGCACTTTG